CGTTCTTGTTGATTTTTCAAACTAAGATGCAAGATCTTGTTAAATGCATCCAAGTAATCTTCAGCAGACATTATAATGCAGAAAATATTTCTCCTTGTATCTGTATTCATATGTTGTTGTCTAGCTAATTCCAGAATATTAGTTGAGTAACTTTCGTTATTTTTCACAACTTCTGTCTGCTCCTTATCTTTATTCTGGTTCCCTGACCAAGCTGACCCTACAACCCACCATCTTCCTTTTTCATCAGCCTTCAACAAGTCTTCTAACCCAATATTTAACTGAGTCACATAATTCCCTTTCCTAATAAAACCTTTCATAACTTTCTTCAAATGTTCTGGATAGGAAACATCATAGTTTGGAATCTTTTTAACATTATTATTCCTTATAGCCAGCAATATGTCTAACATAAACTTCACCCTACAGTTATCTTTGTCTTCCTCTGATATTTCTGAAGCCTTCTTTTGTACTTCAACAATAAAATTTTTCAACTCAAGAGGATTGTCCTTCCTCAAATTAAAACCTACACTTCTCAGAACATGTAGGATGCATTCAATACACTTCTCGTCAAAAAATTCACAAAACTTTCTTAGCATTTCATATACTAGTTTTGAATCAAATAATTGGAAGTTATACAGCTGAGCTATTATTTTAGTTATATTATCCAACATCTTATTTTCGACATCATGACTTCCAGATAAGAATATATCAAACTTTGAAGCAACTTGTTGCAAGAAATGTGCTCCAATCTCAGTGCCAACATTAGCATGAAGCACTGTCAAAAGTACAACATGTTCTATCAGCAATCTTTCTGGTGTAGTTATCTCTGTAACCAATGTGTCCAAAATAAGTGATGTCAGAGATTCATTCATGTCATTCCTACTGTTGTTCATATACATATCTTCTATTGTAGTTGCTATGCTATGCATATTGCTTTCTGTCAATCTATTTAGTAAACCTTTCAGCTGTTTCCGGAGTCTTGTCAGCTTCTCAGATTGCTTTGAGTTATCTTGTCTTAAAGCTGGAGGAACATACTTGGATTCTTTTTGTGAAATAACAGATCCATCTTTTGCTCTAAGCCTACCATATATATCTTCCCAAGTACCATCTTTGTTGATCTTCACAGCACCTTTAATATGAACCTCGGATGCTTCCGATTCATCTGAAGCATACTCTCCCTCATCAGTATCTTCTTCTGAACTATCTGATATTTTTTGTTTTTTCTTTTTACACAGTTCCTCATTTGGTTTCCTTTTCTTGTTATTATTGACACTATCACTTTCATCCTTGGTGTCATATTTTTTCTGCAGTTTCATTTTCTCTGTAGAATTTTCTGAATCAATAATGTCTTCAGAGTCCAGTTCGGTTCCACTATCTTCTGAATTTATATCATCTTCATTGTCATCTGTATTTGCATCGTCTATATCTTCTTCTTCTTCAACATCATCAAATTCGCAATTTTCATCTTTGAGTGTTGAAACACCTGGAAATTGTTGAAATATGAATTATTATAGACCTTAAACAGAAAAATTGTGTTTTAGGAAATAAAAATTCACCATCATCTGCCTCAGAATCCATATCTTCATCATCCTTTCCTAGAATTGTAGCAAAATCTTCAGCAAACTCATCAACATTGGCTGTCTCTAGGGCTTGCTCTGCAGCAACTGCTTCTTTCATTCCCTCAGCATCACATAACTCCATCAAGTAATCTAAAAAAATCATAGCTGAGTCCCCATGATGCATTGACTGTCAAATGAAGACAGCAACACTATCAAAATATTTATTAATATCTTGGTTTTTGTATCACCATATATAACTTTCATGAACATCAATGATATACAGAATATAATGTCAAATGGTTTACCTAAACCATCCTCCTTAAATGCTTTGGGTAATGTTTTGCTTTTCCTTTTGTTAAGTCCAAGTTTCTTTTCTAATTGTTTAATAATCCGATCCTCTTCAGCATTTGCATCCAGCAGTTTTTTCTTTCTGTGCTCTAACATTTCTTTCTCAAGGCGTTTTTGCTTTATTCGATCTTTCTTTTGTAATTGTTCACTTGAGATATCTTTTTGGAAATTTTTTTGGTTGCTGGGTTCTGGATTTCTCTCAAAACTCTGTTTAGGAGCTTTTGTATCATGTGGTATTGGTTTTTCAATTATATGTTTTGTGCAAACTTCAATATCTAGGGTTGGTAAAACATTCTTTGAAAACTTTTTCCTGTTCATGTACAAACCACGTTTTTGTTTTTTCTGTTTTCGCATTTCTTTCCGAAGCTGTTTTCTTGATTTTTTCACATTTTTCTGATTGTACGATTTTGAATTCTTAGTCAGCCCCATTGTTATATGAATATTCTTGTAAAATTGAAATCAGTTTGTTTATTTTTCTCACATGTTTGAAATTAGAAATTAGGTTATCTTTGACACTAAGGATTTTTTCGCGAGTCCACGGTGTAGCACAGTGCACTACTGGGAACCGATAGACCGATATTCAAATTTTCGCGAAGAACGGGAATAGGAGAAGACGGATGTGACGTCGTCCGAATGTCAAAAAATCACATGGTACGGGTACCCGAATATCGTCTGTGAGGTACTAGCAGGTGACAAGTCTTATGTCAATTTCATTTAAAAAACAGGTATCTCAATTGAAAATTTGTCTTCGCAGTACCGAAAATTGAGTTAAATTATTAAATCATAAATGGAGGAACATGTCCACCTGATTTTAAATGACGACTGAGAAGGTCATCGAAGATATATGAACCGCACTTGTCATATCAAATGTTTGTTTTTATTGATATATATGTACATTGCACATAAAACGATCGGCCTTTTTATTACAGATTCAAACAAGGCAGCTAAGTTTAGCAAGGAGCTTAAAGGAAACATTTTGCGCAGCATGCGCTATCTAACCACTCCTGGTGTAACTTGAAACTGTCAACTTCGAGAGGACGGGGAAATGAAATTCCATCTGTTCCCGCTCCGGTTCACTACGGGATCTGGCGAAAAAATCTCATGAAGGGGAACCATGATAAATAATACTAAGTAAAGACTAGTTTCACGTCGCCGTCTAGAAACAAAATTTTAATATCTTTTGGTTACTATTTGACAGCCGTACTAAAAAGAGTTAGATTTCTTACCAAAACTTAGTCCATACATCTTTTCAATACACTTATTGTGCGTCTCCTGTAGACATGGCTTTAGTGGTTTCAGAACCATCGATAATATAATATATGTATAATCAAATCCAAGCGAATAACCAAAATTTCTGTGTTATGTGCCGCGGTTATAATATGGTTCAAGATGACGTCAGTTACACGAATCGCTTGAACGCGTTGGTTTTAACCGCGGTTTTGTTGCAAGTTGTTTATTTTAGAAAAGCGCGTATATAATCTCTGATTATTTTTATTATCACTTAGTAATCGGTGCTTTTTCGTCTACAACTGTAAATATATGGAAAGTTTAAATAAGAAACCTTTCATAATATTCATGGGAGAAATGTTTTTTTCAGATTTTTTTTTTTAATGATGGGACTATGGCTTTGTAGCTATGATAACTTTCAATTCTCTAAATTTTTCCGCATGTCAAAGAAAACATTTATTGATTCAGCAGAAATGATGAAAAAAGAAATTAGCAAAACCGTATACAGGTGGATATCATTTAGTGAGTTTATATGGCCATATTTTAATATTCTTGTGGTATATGGCTACACAGGATACGTTGTTAGGCATATGAACTACATTTAAAGTGTCCCCAACAACCGTAATGAGTATAACTAATAAGGTGCTCCACTTTATGGTAAAACTGAAGTCAGCCTGTATCATTTTTCTGAAAAATGAAGCTGAAGTACAATAACAATATCCAATACCCGGCAAAATTCTAACTTGTCACATTTCAAATAATAACCAGAAATATAAAACTACTCTTGAGTTGGGTAAATACCACAGTTTTGCGGTGATAACTATGACATAACAGCTGATTCGTGACGTCACGGATCTTATAACCAAACTGATAACTACACTCGCTTGAACGGATTGGTAAATACCAACCCAAAATGGTAAATACCATTTCCATTTGGTTATCCGCTTGAATTTGATTGATGTTCCTGTATATCGCTGTCCGCTGTTTTAGGTCAAAGTCATATGTTTTATGGCGACAGCATGACAGGTGATGATAATTGGCGCTATGCTATGGCAAAGCGCTGTACGGAAGGCATAACCTCATTTTTAACTTTTTTTAAAAACCATTTTAAAATTTTTGAAGATTTTTAGTAATTCGGAACCATATGTTTTATCGTTACCAGAATGACTACTGTACAAGCTAAAGATGAAAACTCCAAAGAACAAGTAAAAGAAGTGAAGAAAATCAAGGATCAATGGATGGTATTACCAAAAACTTATATTTTAAAAATATGCTCTATGGAAAATATTGCAGATCAGACCATGCAGAGTATACGATGCTGAATACAGTGATTGTACATCTTTCGCCGCTAGATTCAACCAGTACTTCATTTATGGCAAAACTCTGGACTGCTCCCAGTGGAAGAAAGATTCTATAAGCTGTCATAAATGGATTGACAATGAAGATGCTGAAGCTGCTGTAAGTGTCCTCAATATCCCAAGTTTTTCTAAGAACAGACTGTGTATCCACATATATTTGATCACTCATTTGAAAAACTATTATTAAAAATTCATACCAGCCAACTCCTTTAATATGGTTTTTATATTATTTGCTCAAGAGGGAACTGGTTCACAGTGAAAAAGTCAGGAGGAGAAACAGACTACTGCCCCATGTCCAGAATGATGTCTGGCAAAAAGAAAAGAAGCACCTGCAGATTGGAATAAACCATTACCTGAACATATGCAGAAAGAATATGAAAACACATACTTGAACGTAAAATCCAAAGAACTTAAGGGTGAAGTACCACCGAGCATTGATCTTCCATATACAGGAGGATGTACAATATTATAGCATATCATGATCTTAGTCCATTGTAAAATAAATAGTAAATACTTGTAAATATATTTATTATTTAGTGTTAACCATTTTTCGTATTTCCTCAATATTAGATAATAAGATAACAAACAGTTCTATGATAATGAAAGTTACAAAATTAGAACTTGGTTGATAAACATTCTTCCCCACCAGTATGAAAATGAGCAGACCTCTTTTTGGAAATAAGTATGAAAATCATTCTTATCATTACACACTTAGGTGCTACTTAATAGTATCTATGCTTTTAAACTTTGCAATTTCGCTCCCAATTTTATACAGCACATCCACAGGCTTAGTAGCTCCAATGGCCAAAATTCTAGCACATCCTTTAACAAACAGATCCAAATCTTCTTTCTCATCACTATTCATAATATACTTATTTGTAAACTGTGACAAATTTGAAAACACTGAACTGAATGCTTCGTCCAAATCAAACAGTTCCAATGGAGGTGGAGGCAAGTCTCTAAAAGCTGGTGGAAAGACGGCTGGTTGTAGTGTAGGGAATGGTGTCTCAAACTTTGGTGTTATTATCTTCAATGGCTCATGCTTCACGCCTAACTCTTCATATAGTTTCAAAGCTACAGGGACAAGACTGGTGTTCATAGAATACATTTGATGGTCAAAAAGTTTGGTATAGTCAATATAGTTGCTATACCCAGCTGCATCAGTAAGGCACAACTTAGGCCTCTCAGCTAATTCTGCTGTATCGGGTACAATATACTGCTCAGTGAGATCAATATCATCATTGTCTGTTGGTGTAAAATTGATAGGAGATTGTTCAGTGAGGAAATACATTATTGCCTCTCTAAATTTCTCATTATTCTCTTGGTCCAGGTACTTATCTGAAAACATGTGACCAGAACCTATTGCTACTAGTCTTCCTCCAGATTTTTCATCATAATAGATGGCGCCCAGGGGTTTATCAACAGGAAAGCATGACACGCCACTTGTGAAGGCTATAGCACTGGGTTTAGTGACTGCCATGGTACATCCAAAAGGATATACTAGCTTCATTTCATCTTTTTCTTTGATTATGGCTGAATGCACTTGACTGTCTCCTATATAACATTCCTTAGGGTGTAAATATTTATAGTAGTGTGTCCGAATCAAGCTGTCAATCTTAGGGACGATTCCATACTCTTCAAGTAAAACATTCACATTACTTTGATCATTGGAACTACCTTCTGAAAGTAGTACTAGCACTCTACCCCCACGTTGTATGTATCCCTTTAAAGCTGAGATTTCATTTTCTTCAAAAGGAGTCTGAGATCCTGGCAACACCACAACAGAGCAGTTGTACAACAACTGCTCAGTAATTTCATCTTTATTGACGATTATCCTCCAATATAGTTTCAACTTTCTTTGAAAAGATTTGTAGTTCTCGGTAAGTTTGAATATTTCTTGTTTTGATGCGTTGACCAAGAGTACATTTTTATTTTCTGTGAAATCATCTTTTGACGGTGCCATCACGTTTCGAATTGTTTGAAATTTGTATCAGCGGTTGCTAAGAAACTACCGGAAATTTGATTCACCTCACCACATCGGTCAGAGGCTGAAGCTCGAGTAGGGAAGTGATTCTGATTCTACAAACAGTCGATGAGGAAAGAGGGTGTCGAAAACCAGTGTTGCCAGGTGGAGTCGACGATATTTCGGTAGAATTGTATGGAATTTTTCGGTAAATTGAATACCGAAGAGTAAATGAAGGCATTGACTTAAAACAATTTTATTTAACTCAAAATATACTCTAAAACAGAAAGATAAAACAAAAATAAACAGTTTATATCTCACTTTAGCTAACTAAAAATAAAATATTCTTAATAAAAGGTGTATAAAATAAAAAATCTGTAAGCTCTATTGGATAATCATTCTTCCGATTCATTTTTGAATAGTTTTTATCAGTCATATTATCTACTAATTTTGCTTTGCAGCAGGAATGGCAAATTATGCTCGGCCAAAAATACGCTCAAACGAATTTCTCCTGGAAATAATAAAATAATCTATATAATCTCAAATCTTCTCAAATAGATTAATTAATTTTACCTTCTTTAATATCATTTTCTGATTTCTTTGATGCACCTGCAACTGTAAATGACATCAATTTTGGCTGTTTTGCTATGGTTTGCACTTTTTTATGAAATTGCCCATTTGCGTGTTTTATAAGTGCATCACTTCCTATTTTGATATTAATATCTTTATCACAGACCATGCATTTCGCATAATCGCGCCCTTTATTGCTTTTTTAAGCCAGCCTTGTAAATCTGACAATTCTTCCCAGTCTTCCTTATAATGTTGGGCACACGACGTGAAAAAAAAATGTTACTGCAAGACAGGCGATACTAATACTGGCCGAATTCGGAGTTACTAAGTACACGAAATCATACAAATCGTACAATACAGGCATGGACTTGTCACGAGCCGCTAGGCCTAGGCGATGTAGCCAAATCATCGAGTATCTTCGGTGATTCCCCAGATGCGAAGAATCAGCGTATGTCGCACACCAATGTCAGGCAAAGAGAATAAAAATATATCTGGTTCAAGTCATCGTTGGTTGTCAGAGCGGTCCGTGGGACCTTATCTCTTGAGTCACAGTGTCAGTTTGTAAGTCTGTCAGGTCTGGTAACCCAGAAACCAGACAATTTTAAGGAAAAAAGGGAAGGAAATGAGAGAAGGAAGAACGAGAGCAAAGGGGAAGAAGAGGATCTTTTAGGATAGGCAGCGTTTAGGCATTGTTAAAATCACTTCACAGATTTTGATATTGTCTAAAAATATTCGATTTTTTCTAAAGATTTTGTTAAAATGCTCCAATTTTGGTTGTTCTAAGTTCACGAGTTAATTTTGATTACAGTGCGAGCCGCGGCCTTTTGTGCTTGCGAACTTGCTCGACTGTGTAGTCCACTGACTCACGCAACAGAGGGTTGCTGTGCGATTCCGCTAGACTATAGCGCCGCGGCGCCTGTTGCTTAATGTAGTCCTTTAGGTAAGGAACATCGAGGTCTCTGTGTAGAGTTTCGTTAGAGACATGCCATGCGGGGCATCAGCAAAAGTGCGCAACGTCCTGCTTTGCAGAACCTGCAGATTTCGCATGTGTGTTTTAGCAAGCAATAAAACACCAAGCCGCACATGCGTAAGTCATTGCTGGTCTTATGACCACCTTATAGAGTCGAATCTTGTTAATCAAACTTAATTTTGAACGTTTACATAATAATGGGTAAAGCTGGCGAAACGTAATTTGGAATATAGTTTTTAGCGCTTCTACAGGTATATGGTTTCGCCAAGTCATCCCTTTCTCCAGAATGACACCGAGATACTTAGCGGAGGATTCCCATGGTATACGAGGTCCATTCATTGAAACTTCAGACGGAACGGCGCGACGTCTTTTTGTACAGTAGATTGCCTGCGTTTTCGAATGGTTTATTTTAATTAGCCACCGATCCGCCCAATCTAATACTTCCTCGGCCGCACTTTGCAGCCTGTCATGGACTAGGTCACCAGACCACGACTGAGCCACCAATGCAGTATCGTCAGCATAGAGATAGACTTCACAGTTGCTTGGACTAGGGACGTCATGGATGTACAGTGAGTAAAGGATAGGTCCAAGGACCGAACCCTGAGGGACGCCGGCTGTAATCAGCCGTGTTGTCGACAGGACATTGTCAATTTAGATCCGAAATTTCCTACCTTCAAGGAAGGATTTCAGTAGTTTTAGAAGCCAAAAAGGGAAGCCCTTTTGGATTAGTTTATACAAGAGGCCCGCGTGCCACACCTTGTCAAATTCTTTTGAGACATCCAAAAGCAAGATGCCAGTACTTTCGTTAAGGGTGAATCCTCTGGTTACACGTTCCACCAGCCTAACCGCCTGTAGCTCCGTACTATGTTCGAACTGAAAACCGAATTGCACGTCAGGAATCACATGGTGATCTGACGAGAAATTCTGAAGGTGACGTAGAATCACCTTTTCAGCGAGCTTAGACGGAGCTGACAGCAGGTTAATGGGACGATAACCCTGGGGAAATATCGAACCCACCTTCTTTGGAATCATTATAACTTCAGCGGTCTTCAACGCGGATGGTAAGTACTGGATCCTTAGCATGACATTGACTATTGCCACGAGATAAGTTAAGGACTTCCGCAAAAGCAGCTTCAGCGCCTTATTAGTGATTTGATCCTCCCCAGGTGCTTTACGCACTTTAAGGTCTTTAATATGACCTTGAATCTCTGCTGGTGTGCAATGCGGGATCTCAGAAGATGCCGCTGATGTGCTAAACAGATCTTCGGCTGAAGAAGCTTCTGAAGAAGAATCTTCTGATGAAGAAAAATCACCAACGATAGCGCGACTGTCACTGACGCCGTTGGCCCTAAAATATCTCCTGACAGATCTTACGATGTGTTGCTCCTCGTCGAAGTCATTATCAAGATCATAGTTGGGAGAGAACTGTCTTTCTATGGCATCAGCGAAAACCTCAACCTTCTCCTCTGTTCTGAAGACAATGCCTCCAGGATCGTGAATGTGTGGGATTTGTTCACGCTTTCCGTTTTTGAGCGACTTCGCCACCTTCCAGAGAGGAATGCTTGAGTCAAGCATCCCCTCCAGAAAGTCGTTCCATTGCTCATTGCGGAATTCATGAAGAGCATTTCTTACTTCATGAACAAGATTCGTCGCTCTGCGAATGTCATCAGGATGACAAGACCTTTTCGCTTGCTTAATTGCAGCCCTTTTATCAGAAATCTTCTGACGAATGTCTGCTGGCAGAAAAGGTCTGCCGTGTCGCTGCACGGGAAGATGCTCGCTTGAGATGTCATACATGATTAGAGAAGTGATACTGTATCTACAGTTTTTGCATAATGCAAAATCAAGAACATCAGGTGCCTGAAGGTGATTAAATGGGTAGTGCGTCGGCTCCTCAGTACTATGTATGAGGTAGCCATTTCGTATCACATGGTTGTACAGTCGGATCCCACTGGTGGAATTCAACCTAGAATGCCATGCTCGATGTTTGCAGTTGAAGTCCCCTGCCACAATAAGTGGACCCGGGCAGTCTAAAAGGACTTACAGATCCGCCTCTTGCAGCCTGATACCACACCTGACATACACCGATGTGATTTTTAACGGCACACCTCCCATCATATTGACCACCACGGAAGCCGCTTCGATGCTCTGCATCTCAGCGTTTGTGCTTCTGTGGTAGCCAATACCGCGTTTCACTAGCACTGCCAAGCCGCCACCCCGTCCAGTCAATCTATCAGCCCGGAATAACATCGAAATTTGGGACAGCTAGACGATCTCCCGGATCAAGTAATGTTTCCTGCAGCAAGGCCACATCTATTCTTTCGTCCAAAAGAGCTTGATGAAATTTCCGTTTTTCGGGAATGTCCCTTAGACCCAAACAATTCCAAAAAAGAATTTTGATAAATGCAGGCTGTCGTCGATTGTACCTAGCCATTTGCAGGAAAGATCGCCTGCAAATCCTGTGTTGCGCTAATCAGAGGACCTTAGCGCGGTTGCCAGGTCCACAATTTGCGTGTTCGCATCCGCGTAACTTACTTATTTGCGCTATCACTTACTGATTTTTTCGTTTTTCGTTCCTCTTGTTCTGATTGAGGGCATAAGTGGGTCATGTGGTCAGAAGCACATTTTAGACACTTGGGTGGTGCAGTGCAGTAAGATCGCGCATGCCCATATTTTTGGCAGCGGTGACACTGCCCGATGAGTCTTGAGTTCTTTTGAACTTCGACTCGGATAGCCAAACCTAGCAGCTCATGTTCGTTGAACAGCTGCTGAGATTTTTCTATCTTGGGCAGTAGGACTACCACCAAAGGCATGGGCACGCCGCCACCGTGTTTCAGGCGAATTATGTGCAGGGGGGAACATCTCCTCTGTTGCAATTCTTCCTTGATCTCCGTTTCCGAAAGTGTCGCAGGTACTCCTCTGATTACAGCATGAATGTTCCTCTCCGAGGACTTGGGAATTATCCTGATTCCTGCATCAACGGCAACCGCGCGTTCGAATTTGATGCCCAAAGAAATAAACTCGTGATTTACGCCTCGCCATCTCGAAGCATCGCGAAGAACGATGGGGGTAACACGTACCTTGCGTGGGGGCTGTGCAGTCGTGTCTTCTGATACCTGAGATGTCGAAGGCGAAGAATTAACCGATAGATTAGGCACAGGCTGTTTATTCGAGTCGCTTGCAGTTGAACGAGACATTTCAGACTGCGATTTTGGTGGAGGGAGAGGAGGAAAGCCTGACGTGTCGGTCTTGTTTCGTCGCGTTTTACGGGGCTTAACCTTGGTAAAACCGTCAGGGAGTGTATCGTCGTCAGTGGAAAGATCGCTTGAATTATTTAATGGTGTCTTAAGATTGACAGCTATGGCTTTACTGGGATTTTGTTGGAGTGTTTGGGAAGAATGTGTAATGGGAAGGTACCTGGGTTTTCAGTAGGAGGTCTAATTTAACTGTTAGGTCGGTAATTGTCCGCTGCTGGGATTCGATGATCATCATCAATCTTTCATTGGTCTTCTTATCATCAGCTCCTGTCGAACCATCTCCAGTTCGGCTCTCAACTCCTCTATGGTCTGCTCCTTCGACTCCATCTCCATTGCCA